AAAGTCAGAGAAATCCTCGTAGCAATAGGTGCGTAAGCGACAGCGATAAGTGGTGGAAGTGACTGATACAAAGGTTACGATACAATCTTGTCGCCTTCCTAAAGAAAAAAAAGCAAGATAAGAAACGGGCTGGCGCCACGCCTACCCCTGACACGCCCCATCATTCGCAGCGAACAAGACTGTATCACCAATTCGATTAAACTGAAGAAACTAGCGACTATCAAGATTAGACCGTATACTAGGAGAAGCTCTAAAACTCTGCATGAATGGTCTCACGCTCTTCGAGCCAGGAGAACCTACTCTGGCTTGTAAAAGGAACAAATAGAGACTACTTAGTTATTGGCACAGTTCAAGGACGCGCAACCAGGCAAAAGTTGTTAAGAAGAAAGGCATGGACACGTTTGGCACGGAAACAATACTATCTCTTATCTTACCTCACCAATCGTTACATCTCTCACAAGTTGCATGTTGAGTAGTGGTAGGTCAAAACCGATTTCATTGACGTTATTTGTATGTCCATGATCATAGTAAGCACCTACGGCATCTTGAAGATTCCTGAAAGTAACAACTTGGAAAGGAAAGATGTTACGAAGCAGTAACGCGAGATGTAAAATTTTTGCCATGATGATGGACGCCTGAACGCCAAAAAAATTTTGTTGGACTAAAATCGGGTATGTTTCGCATAGGAAACGTAATGCGACGAAAAAGTTGCTGTAATCAACTAATCTATAACGAGAATAACAAAACAGAACAAATACTAGTACAATAGAGGATGCAGTACCCCAAGTACTGGAGAGGTTGTGGCAAAGTCCCAGTAGTCGAATCATGACACCCCTACCCACTATTCTAACTCTACCCTTTCAGCCTCTGAACCCAACTTCACCTCCTCACATTCCCTTCAAGGATGAGGCACGAGAGGGATATATCTCCCATAGCAAAACGATTAATCCTATATTCTTCCTCGAAATCTCCCACAATCTTCAGATTAATTCATTCTTCCTTTTAGCAAGCCAAATACATGTACTTCAGAAACATCTCAGGATATATGTCAGCCGCGAAGCCTCCCTTTTTCCTTCCCACTTTTTCTTCACTCACTCCCTCTTCCCTCTCCATTATTCTCCTTCCTTCAAATGCCTGGCCAGAAGATGCAACGAGAAAGAGCTTCTGGACCCTTTCAGAACCTTTACCCGTTGCATCTTGCTGACCAGTGAATCCCCTCTATGTTAATATTTCAGGAGAAACAAAAACAAACTATAGAGGGAGCAACCTTAGCAGGACTTATCTTACAGTCAGCGGTAAAGGTATAGGTGTTTACTGCTAACTCAAACGATGCAGGAGGTATCGTAGACAGAGTACATCAAAGTGGCCACATTCACAACGGGGTCGTATTCGGGTTGTGGAATAGAATGTCGCAGTTGGTCCGGTGGAATTGTTCGGCTGTTGGTTTTACCGCTTTCAAGCAAACTGCATATCCCCTATTTCTGATACTTGACAGTAGATCCTCCGTGGACGGATACTGAGGGGGGGGCAGGGGTGGATATCAGAAGAGGGAAATAATTTTTTATATTCCCATGATGTTTTCTGATAGTAGGCGATGGAAGCACTACAAATCACGAGTATTGTTCCAGAAAAAAATAATATAAATTGACAAAAACCTTACCAATTCGACATATCCAAGAAGAAAGCACACAGTTCCGGAGAAAGGCTGACGTCTCCCAAAATACTTTGGAATTGTTTCACCAGCACCTGTACAAGGAAGAAGAAGATTAAAGATCGTCAATTACTTCTACGAATTGACAAAGGGACATAAATTTCTGACAATCGTTCCAGTTTTACTTATGGACTTCCGGAAAATTTTTCAGCTCTCTAATTAATAGCAATAATTATAGTAAAAACTATATACAATAGCAGTAATTATATACAAAAGAGTCAATCACGCATTCAAGAGCATTTTCTTTTCGGAGTTCTACAACTATAAAAATCTCTTATGTTTATGGATTCATCCAACTTACACCTTTGGCGGCACTATTTAACACCGCGGAAATAATGGAGCATCATCTTTCAAAATTTTCAAAAATATGCCGGTAATAACATTACCCTCCTCATCCTCATATACTCAGTACCGTCGAGCTGCCCAAATCTAAAGAAGTAGCGCCCTCTACCTGGGTTGTCTTATAATCAGACGCATAAACGCCAACGGCTCAGTCCACGTAATCAGGGCAATCCGACGCCAAAATCACGCCAAATCAGAACTACTCCGATATAGTTGTGATATTTGCTTTCAGCAATGTTCCAGGGATATACAAGGGATTTCTGCCGACTGGTTCCGACCTTAAAGGCAATCCTCGTGCTCAATCAAAGTGTAGGCGTCCTTCCTCAAACCAAAAGGTATTTTTTTGTCGCGAGTTGGTTTTTTACAGCGTGTTTTTCGCTTTTTTTTCACGGCTAAATGGTATTAGCACTGGATGACGCGAAGAAACGAATAGTGAGCCAGAGGCGGCAGGATATCGCTTTGCTGGCATAAAACGAGCAGGTCCGGAAAACTCGTGCAGTGAGGCTGCCAGGGGGCTTACAAGGTGTTGCCATGATTTTTTTTGTTTTTTCTGCCCTGTAACTCACTCAGCAACTATAGGTATGTAACTGAACGCCTCCATCCACAATATGGAATGGGCTGGGGGGTATCATTAATGTTGAGGATGAAGTTTACTGCTTCCATAAAGCCATACCACATGCTGCACAACAAACTTGTCGAAAACCACAGAACCTCTTCCGGAACTACGGGACCTCTTCTGGCTTCTGCGCAAAATATTGAACCTAAACAGCAGTCTGTTTCTCTTCGCTACCAAACCCCACTCCCCGATGAACCAGGGCACACCGCTGTCAGGGTTCCCCAATAGGGGGTCGTACGTATTTGGTAGCTGGGAGTGTATTTGGGCTAAGAGAAACTTATTCTGATAGTTGATTTTTCCTGTTTCGTGGACGCAAACGGAGGGGGCTTGTATTTCTCTTCCGACCATTTGAAGAAGTGTTTCACTTGTGCTACCCCCCCCCCCCGCTCTACAGCAACTTTTGGGGAAAAGCAGAAAATTTTTTGGTGAATTCCGGAACAAAGTGGTAGTACGTTGGGGAAAAGCCAAGAAATGGTAGAAGGAGGGCTGTGTTTTCCTCGCGGCTTTTATTTTTCCGTTTCACATGTGCTACTCACCCCCCCCCCTCCCCCCACTCCCGCTCGATGAGGAGGGAACCAGAGGAGGGCGGGGGGAGGGGTCGTACCAACCTCCTAAAAAAGCAGGGGTCGTACGGACTCGACCAAAAAACCAATGATGTGCCCTGCGATGAACTCCAAATAGCCCGGGTAAATGGCTGGGTGCAGCAGGGCCAAGTGTCCTTTCTTGGTTCGATACTGCTGTTGCCTCTTTTTTTTGAAAATTTTGCTAAATTTCTTAGAAAAAAATTGCCAGAAACACCCCAACCTGACAATAACACATATCGAATATAAATTAAAAGAAAAATCCGCCTAATAAACCATCTCACCTCTTTATCGCTGGTTCCCAAACATGACAGTTGACGAATCAACATATTGTCGATATCGTCGGTGTCCATGAACTAAATGTAAAATGTCTTTGAAATACATCATGAAAAGAGCGGATTAAATTAAATACATGGGATTAGTGGCGCACATTAAGGTCATTGCAAATAATCTTGAACACTCAGAAAATCGTCCACAAAACGATTGGAAAACGAAACTATCAAACGTTCATTTAACGAATTTTGATTGTAAAAATCAGACCAAAATCAAAAATGCATATTGCAGCGAGAACTGGAAAGTGGCAAAATGATTGACGCATATCAGGAGAACAACAGATGGGAATGATCCAAGTACGAAGTCACACAACCATCGATAGTTCTTCGCAAGAAAACCTAATCGATCATCATACAACTATTTGCGTCCGTTCAGAATGATATCACTTATGAGTATTCCTGCAACGTTTAGAACGGGTTTCACGCCAATCGAACGAAAAACAATGGAAAGCTCGTCCATTTCAACGCGCTTAGTAACAACACATATTTCGTGGATACAAGTGACCACTTACACTCCTTATCCCTGAGACGGAGTAGGCGTGGCTTTTGAGCACGGCATAAGACGGGTTTCTCGTAGAATACTTCAAGTTGAAACAACTGCTATCTTGTCCTGTGTTAAATGTAGACTTGATTACTACTGCTCCAAAATGACAATATCTCACGAAAACCTGGACCGCCGCCATTTTAAAATCAAGTACGCAGCCACGCCTACCCGATCTTAGGGATTTCGAGTGTATATAATTTGCCTTCGTTTCTTTGGGGTAAGCGTGAGCTACTTCGTAATAGCAGGCAAACGATACCGGGTTTACTTATAATTTTGTTTTGAAGTGGTCTTTTCGCGAATATTGCGCGCGAAGAGCCCTTCACACGCATTTTCTACACACAATACATTACATTACGTCTGTATTACATGCCCCGCCCCCAGATAACTCCGCCCCTTTTTGTCGCCACACAATTTACACCGTTTACCAGACACATTATCTCGTTTGACAGAGAGACCCTTAGGACAGGGGGGGGGGCTTACTCAATGTCTTTTCGATATCAAAACATTTAAAATATTTACACGACCTAGAACGTATTTCAGGTCACTGAACGAGGCCTGAGCACGAGCAATATACAGAGACCTCTGGGTTTCTTTTTTAGAAAATTCGAGATCGTGTGAAATATAGGCGTTTCCGTGTGACTAATTTCATTCTGTTGGATTTCAACATTTGAATTCAAACGCGTTCGATTGAATCAATTTTTAATGAGCATTGAAATAATGAACGGGATGTTGTGCAAGGTGAGCAAAATTAAAGGGGTTACAGGGCCCCTGTCAACCGCATGCTCTCTCGCTAAGAGGGTCCAGAGACTCATATCATGGTCTGACGAGCATCTGAAGGGAGGAAAATAAGAAAGATAGAATAGAGGAGGGAAGGAAAAAAATCAATAGAAAAGAGCTCCGCTGTTGACAGGTATCCTGAAACGGACGGACGAGAAATTGAAGAGTGGAGCATTTTGGTGCAGGTACATCCAAGGCAGTTAAAATCACGACAGTGTACTCGACTCACTCAACCTCGGAGTCTTTCCTGGAGCACGGGCAGGAAGTCCTTATCCTCCTGGGTTACAGTCATTTACTGCATCAAAAGACCCGCCTTGTTCGAAAAAACGAAGTGAAACGGTCAAAAACCTGTAGAAAAGGCCTCTGTGCTATAAGTTCCAAAAGCAATTTCGGACGAGTTTCTCGTTGGCACTATTCCAATAACCGCTACGGTAGATGCGACTGCATGTATGTAATCATGTATCCATGCAATACCGCAATCGCTTAGGTTACGTAACATCTAAAACTTATGGTAGAGGTCCTGGCGCGAAAGGCCAGAGTGCGGTGAAAAAGAGAACTGCGGCTGACAAAGAGTAAAAAAAAGTGCAGAAGACATGTCCCAAGCCAGGGGACGAGCTTTTTCAGGGACAGTGACTCCAGGAAGGATGAGCTACTTATCATGTGAGAAAAATTGGAGTATGTCGGGTCACAGTGGTCACAAAATGCGTGCAGACGTGAGAGCGCAGAGAAAAAGAGAAAGTTGGCGGGACCAAAGGGATTGAGTTGTAGTCGCCCGGACAAAGCGCTTCACATCAATCCCTTCGTTTCATATTGTACTTCGAAAATGAAGCGATACGAGTATCAGCATCACTCGGACAACTGTGGGCGGGCGGGCACGTTGGGCGTACGAATCGGTATAATGAAGTCGATGGGGCGCTATACGGGTACCTTCCTTGGAAGAGACGCCGCGCAGCGCTTGCTCAAGGGCGTCGAGTTCTGTCCCGCTAGCGTTTTGATCCTGAACATCTTCGAAATTAATCGTGCCACGTGCCTTGGGACGACCCCGGACGTACAGCTTTTGCCCTCGGATTGTGAGCGTGGTAAGTGCCACAACTAAACTATGCATAAACTGGACTAACTAACAAATTTCACAAAAGTACGAAGGGCTGTTTTGAAAAAGGTAAAGGAAGAGCTTCCAGATCTCCATGAGCATTTTGCAAACTGCTGCCAAGTGTCATCATTGAGCTTGAGCTTGTTACGCTGTGATGAGCACTGAACATAAAAATGTTACCAGTTCACCGAAAAAAAAAACATAATGGCACCATTGCCGTTCACGTGCCAGCGGTTGGCCAATAAAGGGCACTATTACGACACAGCAAAGCAGTTCGTGTACTTAATAGTGCAAACGTTGTCATATAAAAATGACACGATGCAGGAAGTGTATATGAAGAAAATAAGTTAAAGTTTAATTGATTCTGAGCAAATGTTACAGTAATTACACGAAATTTCATTTTGAATCAGCCGGCGGCGCTATTCCAAAAAGGCAAAATCTGGATTTTCTCAGTCCCAACAATTATCTCATAAAAACTTCTCCCTAATTGTCAGAACAAGCGGTGCCACTGCTCAGTTAGTAATATTTCAAGCGCACAGCTTGGTGAAAAAAGTATCCCAATTTCAAAAATATAACAGGACACAGTCATTAGTCACGCATTGGAAGTGCAATTACTGTCATTTTTGCTCGAAGCAGCGTTCATACTTTGCGACTCGGACTCGGCGATCTGAAGATTGCGCGACGGAAAAGGTATAGGTATCGATCTGGCGACTGTGGAGGTTGAGCGATCTGCCGATTTGGGAGTCTCGGCGTTTCCGGCAATGGCGCGCCAAAGGATGGATGGGTATCGATTGGCAGTGTCGCTGGCGATCGCGTAGATTCAGCGACCAGGCAGACTGAGCGATCCGGCTATTTGAGAGACTCGATCTGGCCTTCTGAGAGATCACCGGGAATGCCAAGTCTACCAAATCGCCGAACTGTCCAATAACCGCAGTCGCCAGATCGATACCTATACTTTCCCCGTCGCGCTATCCCTCAAACTGCCCAATCTCCGACATCGCCGAATCGCCTGAGTCGCAAAGTATGAGCGCGTCCTGACACTTGAGCTGCTCGAGCGGTCCAAATGCCGTCCAAAATAAAAAAGAGACCCGAAAAAATGGAGTGGAACCAAAAATGCCATTAATCCACAAGTTGTTCCCGTGGAAACTGGAGTGAGTCTAATCTAACGAACTGTTCTACCAAAATAGTTGGCTATACTGAAGTAAAGAATTTGGAACTAATTCAATTCTGGCTTCGGTTGCTTCGTAAGAAAGTAAAGTAAAAATCAAGGGAAATCTCACGTTATTAATTACGTGAAGAAATAATCGCGATCAAGTGTGACTATGAGGCCTACGCACTTTTGGCGTAACTATGACGCATAACGAAAGTGCGCAACTTTTAGGTGTGAAATGCACTTCAGTGTAAAAAGTAAAGTACATTTTGACTTACAAGAAAGTGAAGATTTCTGTATTGAGTGAGAAATAAAACATTTCTAGAGCGTTATGCCGCCTCTACATTCAATACCATAAGCGATGAAAAATGCAACCTATTATTTTGAACGAAAAATTTTGGAAATCAACTCGGTGCTGAATACTGTGACAATTACTAGACTGAGGGAGAAGTAATCGAAATCGAAACATTAAACTTCGAAAGCCCCTTTTGCGTCATGAATACTAAACTTTTAGCTAATTGCGTGTGATATACGTTCTTATTTTTCCTTTGTTCCTTGCTTGTTAATCAATTCGCTTTTTGAATGAAAATTTACCATTTTAGGCGAGTTAATAAAGAGCTATTTTTGACACTTTTCAAAGAAAAGTCAAAGAATTGGGTTATTCGAGCTGCGGAACTCTTAGTAACCCATAGGCTGCGTTTATAGTTTGCGTCAACATTTTGAACGTACGGCAGCGTTTTTAGCGACTGCACGCCAAACGCTAAAACGATAGATCAATACCTATATTTTCCAGTCGCCCGAAACGCCAGCTAGAAAGGCTTAAATGCTACCGTACGCTCAAATCGCTGACGCAAAGTGTAAACGCAACCATTCACCGCATCTTTCTCCCATAGTTCCTAACTTTTCATAAGATCTCAGCCGTCCCTTAAAAAGGTATACTTGCTATTTGGACGGGTTCTGCAAGCAGCAAAAGAGCTCAGAAACCAAAAAGCCGAAAAGCTGTCTGGGCTCTAGAAGCTAAAGACTCACCCTTATGGAATCTAAAAACTTGTTAAACGTAGAATACAACTTACATTTTCAGATGGTTTTTACTTCGAGTGAAATGATCTCTTGCAGAACTTCTTGGTTGTGGCCCTACAGTAATGGGTTGGCAGGTAAGTGGTAGCAATCATAAAATTTCGCTTTGAAGTGAAAAGCTTCCCAGTGTGTTTTATGCTGTTCGATAGACAATTTTCCGCTCTACAAGATGAAAAGGTCATCAACCATTTTCTTCCGATTTTTGTCACCTTTTACTCCTCGATTTTTTTTAAAGTAGTGTCGGTCGGCGCAAATGAAAGCTTTCGACACGAGCTTTTTGCACTCAATCTCTTCGCTCATACTGCAGAAGCAGCTCAAACTTGAGATAAGTATAATCAAGGAATCGAGCTACTTAGGATGGCTAAAGTTGGCTTAAGCGATTG